AAACTTTTGTCCGGGTGTGTGTGTGTGTGTATATATATATATATATATATATATATATATATATAGATTAGTCTGTGTGGTGGTTGTTGTTGTTGTTGCTACTATTGTATGTATGTATGTATGTATCTTATTGTTATTATTATTATTATTTTATTTATTTATTTTTTGGTCTGAAGGAGAAGGTTTAGGTGAATGTTTGGCGCAATGAAAGGTCATGCTGCTCCAGCTGTTTCTTAACTCTGCTCTAAACTTTGTTGGTTGTGTGCTCAACATTCCGTGCCACTTTTAATCACCTACCCACCACTGCTGGTTATTAGCATTCTCAGTAATCTTTCAATTTTATAGTCCATGCATGTTTCCAAATAAAGCCATGTTTTGGCCGAGGTTGCTGATTATCTTACTGCTCTTCAAGTCATTAAATAAGTCATGGGAAGTACTTGGATTTGTAGTAAAGATAATAAAACAGGTACACTGCATTGAGTTTCCCACTGATTCATTTAAATTGATTGTTTTTTATCTCAACAGAAATGGTCAAGTGTGAACAGTCCACTTTTCCTTCCTCTCATACCGCCACGTTCACCTGGGTTCACGGCTGTCGTCTTGACCTATGATCGAATCGAAAGTCTTTTTAGGGTCATCACTGAGATCTCCAAGGTGCCCAGCTTGGCCAAACTACTGGTGGTGTGGAACAACCAGAACAAGAGCCCCCCTGAAGGTTAGTGTCGCATTGTTGTAGGGTTGCATTATATAGCTGTACCATATGTAATTTTAAATGCTGTATTTTGGTGTTTTCTTGGTTTTTGCCATACTCGTTCAGGATAATAAAACATATTTAGCTTGTCCAAATGGATTTTATTTGTTAAGCAAGTTGTTGAATTTGAAAAGAGATTGTGACTAAATCTACACTGTTGTTCTGACAGCTTCAGTTATTATAGAATGAAAATGTGACACTCGTATGAAATGCAGTTGTGCGGCTTTCACAAAAGACATGAAACCCCTCATATGGAACATATGAATGATAAGCCAGTGAATAGCCAAATCGTGTTCCTCTTGAGGTTGGAGAATTGAAAGCATGATGTGCCTTGGGCTGTGGCCAAACCTCTCTGGTTTATCTTCAGATACGAAGTGTTTGGTAGTACTGCTCCTGGCATGTAGATGCACGTAAGGAGACGGCAGAAATGTTGCTTTTCTCATTGACTGACTATGAGCTGTTGATATCTATGGGTCCTATTACGCCTGACTAGACGAATGAAGTGTATTTTAATTCATTGTGATATATGGACTGTTTTAACCAGATGTCCACCCTTAAACCTTGTTGTCAAACCAAAAGGATAGTTTCCATAACGGTCTCCCTTTCCTACGGCTGTGGTCAAATTTATGGCCCATTAGACCTGTCAAAATAAGCTGATATTAGTAGTTATTTATTGTGGCTCTGCCTCTAATGATACAAGGCGATTAGGTATTCGTCTGTTTATGAAGTCCCTGGGAAAAAAGGAATTGGGAATTAAATATATCCTCTCCATAGATTTGAGTAATGCCATTATGAAGGGAAATACTTTGAAGTAGACTAATGATTCGCTGTTGCCTTTGATTAGAGGCGTCGGTGAAGCCGGGCTCAAGCTTTTGTGACCCATTAGAATTAATAAGGTCTGTTCACGGGTCAACCAGGGGCTCAGGCCCTGATGAGGATGGATTTCCTCCACACCATTTCCATTGCTGATTATGTTTGTTTATTTCAAACAGCTTTAGCTGCCCAAGTCTTGACTGTTTGTCATTTTAATGAGGTGCTGGCGACTTCTGACAATAGGACTGCATTTAGGGAATTTCTCAATGGGCTTAATACTTGGAGGGGAGGAGAGCTTTAATATGGTGGTGTCACACACTCAGCAAAATATCGTCTAATTATCGTTATCGATAAAATCCCAGAAAATATCGAGATATAATTTTTTGTCAATATCGCACACCCTTAGTCACAGGGTATATAATTTGCTAAAGCTCTTTTAAAATGTTCGTACATAAAGTACAGCTCATGTGAAGAATCAGTACAGGGCAAGAAGTGATTACAGGCCATTAAAAAGCTTTCGCACAAGTTATTTGACGCAGTCGAGATTCCTGCTTGTTCTTATGGTGCAGATTTATGATGTGTTAATGTCTAAGTTTGTGCATTGTGCTGCTCTGGATTTTGCCAGTTAGTTTTAGTTGTTAAAATGTTACTTGTCTTTGTAGTCCATCTTGTTTGTGTTTTTTTGCTTGGATGTGGTGACAGTATCAGTTTACTTGCATGTGAAGATCTGGCCCTTGTTTCAGCCTTTGTCTGAGGCCAGGGAGGTTTTCCAGAGGTTAGGAAATATTTTTCTTTTCTTTTTTTTTCCCTTTCATAGTTTGTTGTGTGATTTTGTGAAAGTATGCTATAGGCTGAATTGCATTGACCTAACGGAGATGAGCTCATTCCAGATCTCCTAAGATTTCCAGGGTCTATACCCCGACTTTGAGGTAGCGGTATAATCGCTGACTCCCCCAGTCCTTAGGGTCTCTGTGTTTGAGTTCCAGTAGACTTTCTCTCGTCAGTTTTATTAGGTGACTGTGTGTGCCATCTGTCTTCTGCGTGCTCTGAACTCCTCCCAAGCTCTTACACAACTGAAAATAAAGAGCGTTGTCTCTTCTGCCCTGAGAAGAATGTAAGTGTGGTCAGATTCATATGTGCTTTTACTCAGTGATGTGTTTAGATTTATCCACCCACGCTCTCTTTTCCACAGTTGCTGCCATCTCTCATAGTTTTTCATCTTCTCTGAAACTGACAGTGTATTATTATTAGCTCACTGTTTCCTTTCTCTCTGTAACAGAGTCGCTTTGGCCCAAAGTCACAGTACCTCTTAAAGTGGTCCGCACCAAAGAAAACAAGCTCAGCAATCGCTTCTTCCCATTTGATGAGATCGAAACAGAAGCTGTCCTGGCCATTGATGATGACATCATCATGTTGACCTCAGATGAGCTGCAGTTTGGATATGAGGTAGTAAAAGCACTGAATCTCTATTTGTGTACTACTACTTACTACAAAAAATATGTACTACAACAAAGGAGGTTTAGTATATACGGGTAGCTTGATGTAAATCAGTATTGGGTCTTGAAGCCGCATCAAGCCGCAAACCAGTCCTCTTGCATAACACATACGCTTTTTTCTAAAGTTTAGGGCCAAGAATTTGAAAGAAATTATTATTATTATTATTGTTGTTGTTATTCAACAGGGATGCATTAAATTGTTAAAAAGTGACAGTAAAGTCACTTCAAATAAATGCCATTCTTTTGAGGTTTCTATTCATCAAGGAATCATGAAAAAAAGTAGCATGGTTTCCACAAAATATTAAGCAGCACAACCGTTTCAACATTGAGAATAAATGTTTCTTGAACTTCAAATGAGCAATACTAGAATGATTTCTGAAGGATCAAGTGACACTGAAGATCTGAGTGAGAGTAATGCCTGCTGAAAATTCAGCTTTGAAATCATGAAAATTAATTACATTGTAAAATATATTAAAATAGTTATTATAAATTGTAATGTTATTTTGCAATACTACTGTTTTTACTGTATTTTTGTTGATATAAATGAAGCCTTGGTGAGCATAAGAGAAAAAATTAACTGACCCCAAACATTTGAAATGTAGTGTACTTTTATTTTGGATGCACTAATTATAATTCAGTAAAAGTAGTTCGTGATTTCAAATTCAGCCATTATTGGATTCAGGGAGAAATCAATCAATTTTTCCCTATATACTTGGAGCTTGCTTTTCAAGCATTTAAAGTTTTCTTTGGAACCTGGTGCTTTTTCTTACTTAATTTGGTTTGTTTGGGAACAAAACAGACAAACTACAGGTCTGAAAATACCTTGAAATTGGGTAGACTGAAAGAAATGTTAGCATTCTTAGTCCGCATGTGATTTACAGATTATTGCACTGGATGACCACCTTTTTTTTAATATTTAAATAGATTCGATTGAAGTAGTTGCCTAAATTCACAGTATTTCCAGGGGTTGTATCTGGAGCAACTAGGGATTAATTGTCTTCTCCACATGCACAATGATGATAGAGCGGAACTGTGATCCCAGTACCTCTTTGGGTCACTCCTACTTAAAGTTGAGTTTACATGCAGTGCAGGATTTTTGAACCATCCTCTGTTGCCTAAATCTGTGCTCGGCATCTCAAAGCATTCCTTATGGTTGAAGTCTCTATTTTTATCATTTAGGTTTTCTTTTTATGAAGGATGACAGGAAAAGCAATGCTGTCCATGGCTACAGGCTTGCCTTCAACTCACCTGCAGGCATTTATACACTATTGAGAGAATGAAGCATAATTTATGGATAATTGTATGAAATGGAAGACAGCTTTAGACATGGCTGCCTGGCTAAAACACTAGCTGCTTTTGCCACAGGGGAATGACATTCAAGAATTTCTACATCATATCATGTAGGCCTGCCTGTCATTTTGGCGATTAACAAACCGTTAGACCTAAACTTCATTGATTTAACCCTTGATATTCAAGGTTTACCATCCTTTGAAGCCAACATTATCTAAAACGGCTCTAATTGTTGAATAGTTGACTGATCCTTTATAGTTTTAGATTTTGTGATGGTTTATATTATGTCTCAGATGTGTTGTTTGTGTCTGTGTGTAGGTGTGGCGTGAGTTTCCAGATAGGCTGGTTGGATATCCTGGACGGCTCCACTTGTGGGACCACGAAATGGGCAAGTGGAAATATGAATCTGAGTGGACCAATGAAGTGTCAATGGTCTTGACTGGAGCTGCATTCTATCATAAGGTAAAGCACAAATCCATCATAGACTCTGTCACTTCCGTCCAGGGTTGTGCCAAAATCTTGTCAATGTCCCCGTCCTCCCTTTATGGTGTCCCTTAGAGATCAAGAGAGGTTATCGTCATTTGTAATTCAAAACCCTCAATTAAGGTCATTCGTTTCATCAAAATGGTTCATTATGTTTCTTACATTGTCAAAAAATGTTTTGACCGTTTCTTTTTCTTTTTCAGTACTTCAACTATCTCTACACGTATAAAATGCCCGGAGACATTAAGAACTGGGTGGATGCTCATATGAACTGTGAGGATATTGCCATGAATTTCCTTGTGGCCAACATCACTGGCAAAGCCCCAATAAAGGTAACATAACCTCAGAGTACGATATGGTCGATTGTGTTCTGATAGTGCCTATTTGTTTTGGTTCTGCAACTGCTTTGGAGGGAATCAAATGGGCCATATCATGGAAAACTAGATTTTTCTTGCTTTTTTTAAATATGAGTAGTACACAAAGCTCCTTCTTTAGTCCACCCAAATCACTAATGGAAACGAATATCAAAAGCCAAAATCTTCATGGTATTGATGGTTTTTCCTACATATACTACCATTCAAAAGTTTGGGGTTGGTAAGATTTAATTTTTTGTATTTTTTTTGTAAGAAGTCTCTCAAGCTTATCAAGGCTGCATTTATTTGATGAAAAAATACAGTAAAAACAGTAATAAAATGAAATATTATTACAATTTACAACAACTATTTTCTATTTTAATATATTTTAAAACTCAGTGTCACATAATCCTTCAGAAATCATTCTAATATGCTGATTTAGTGTTTAAGAAACATTTCCTATTATTATCAATGTGGCAAACAGTTGAGCTGCTTAATATTTTTGTGGAAACCGTGATACATTTTTTTCTGGATTCTTTGATAAATAGCAAGTTCAACAGCATTCATTTGAAATAGAACTCTTTTGTTGTAACATTATCAATGTCTTGTATTTTCATTTTTTATCAATTTAATGTGTCCTTGCTAAATAAAAGTATTGATTTCTTTCAAAAACAAATATTACTGACCCCAGACTTTTGAACTGTAGTGGAGTTCTGTTTTTACACTGAGGAAACCAAATCCCATCATATTTATTTAAGACTGCAAGCTTAAAACTCTTGTGAAATGTATTACTTTTTACTTATTACTTATACGAACTCCTTTAGGGTTCGTATAAGTTTCGGAAAGTTTTTTCCGAGTATGGCCCTGTATGACATCATAAAGGGTGGAATTCCTTGTATGGGCAATTCTCCCGGAAGAGCGCACGCACACAGCAAATAGAGCTAGAGCAAGAGCGTGCCCATCAATGTGCTTCATTGGGGTTACAGAAGTCGTCGGCAGCGCTGCACAGTACTTGCTCGAGAAGCATTTTACTAGGGCTGCACGATAAATCGCATGCGATATTTAATGCGCATCTTGTCAGTAAAGCCGGCTCTGTAATCAGCGGTAAATCTCCATCACGTGCGTGCTTTCATGATTTACTATTTACTACATGATTTACAGCATTTACTACACGGAGCCGTTGTTCACTGACAAACTGCGCAAAACCATGATCATATATGAACGTGGTTTTGCGCAGCTTGTCAGTGAACAACGGGTCTGTGTAGTAAATGCTGCTCCATGTGAAAGCACGCTTGTGATGGAGATTTACCGCTGATTACAGAACTGGCTTTACTGACAAGATGCGCATTAAATATCGCATGCGATTTATCGTGCAGCCCTACATTTTACTTTGTTGATTTTGTGGTCTAAAACAAAATGTCATCAAAGAAATTTGTTTTTGGTTGTGAGGGAAAGATAACCTTGTTCAGCTTCCCAAAGAACCCAGCGTTAAGGGAACAGTGGATGCACTTTGTTTTTCCGGGGCAACAATGGAGTTGTGCAAGTGTGTTTTTGTTCCTGTTTTATTTATGTCGATGTCACAGATTGCAGACAATCTATATACAAAAGCTTTGTGTGCTCTTGACTCTTTAGCTCCGCCCACGGCACGTCTCCAGGAGCTCGAGTGTTTTCGGAGGGAATCATGAAGCTGTATCTGTCTTTTATAAATCTGATAAAACTAAAGACTCTTCGGAGATATGAAGGATGCAATACTACTCTATAGGTACTCAAGATTAACATGAGATTGGCAGAAACTGTGTGTGTTATGTCCCCTTTAAAAATCAATGTGGGCGTTCCCTAAAAGAATGCGGGCATTCTGACAGTGTTCCCTGGAGCTCTGTCTCTGATCAGCTTTCACCTTTCTCCTCCAGCCTCTACAGTTTGTAGTCTACAGTGACTCTGTCCAGGTGCTGTTCGGCCTGTAAAGTCCTGGCCTTAACCTCTGTTATCTGGATGTCACTGTCTGCCTCTCTCCTGCGCTCTCTGTTTTTCTAAGCTCACTGGGGCACATTCATTCTGTAGTCAGTTACGCTGTGAACCTTCTCCCCTCTCTCCTCCACATCCCCACATCACCCACACCTCCTAGTGCCCCAATCCCGCGCTCCCACTGTGGAGAGTGTCAGTCAAGTGTGTGTGTGTTGTTGAAGGTGGGATGGGGCAGAGGGGTCGTACATAATTCATCTAATGAGCGTGGCAAATACGGTCGTTTAGCTAGGCCACGGGCACGGACGGCTCTCTCATTACATCTGACTTATATGACCTGTCATCAAGTCATCTCCTTCCACTCAGCTCCCAAACACACACACACACACACAGTTCACAGAGGCCCATCATTACAGCCCCAGCTCATTATTAAACAATCTTATCAATGCTGTCAGATTTTGTTGTTTTTTAATATGAGGAGTGTGTCATGATTTCTCAACTTTAAATTGGGAGCTACAGACACATGTAGGTCAGACAATTTTGTTTTGTTTTTTGTGACCTTTTTGAGGTAAGAACAGGTAAGAAACTTGAGTTTTATGTACTGAATTAAACACAAAAGTCTGCTTTCTAATGATCTCTCTAATGATATAAAAGTCCTAAAGATTTGCTTCTGTAAATATTCCAAACAATTTTCAGGCATTTTTGACTTTCATTTATTAAAAACAAAAAAAAACAAAAAACTTAAGACATCAGTAACAAATAAAAATATAATACATCTGTTATAGAGTCTATATATTTAACAGTATATTTGCAGTTTTAGCTGAATACAAATACCATTTAAAAAAATAATAATTTTTGTTTTTTTTTCTAGCTAAACAGCTTTCCTGAAATGTTTATTTGATGTCTTTCTGTGGTTGATTGGGCAAGTACAGTACAAGTTACTGAAAAGTTTCTTCTCATGTATATTTCAATATACTTTCATTATTATTATTATTGATTATTCATGTTATTTCTAGTAAAATTGCAAAAAAGAGGGGGGAGAAAGAAAAAAAAAATCCCAAAAATGCATATAAGGTAACTTATAGTACAGTTTCTCAACTCCAGTCCTCCTTTGGGACCCAACTCCCAGAATGTTTTAGATGTCACCATATTCAAAACTCTTAGAAGCTTATGAGTTGAATCAGGTGTTTTAATTAGTGAGACATCTAAAACATTATGGTAGGTGGGTCACCAGGACTATAGTTGAGAAACATTGTTGTAGGGCATACCAGACTGACTCATGAGTATTTATTAGGACAAACTTTGAGGGACTTTTTTTTGTAAGATGGACACAAAAACTACAAAAGAATACAACAACTTCACTAAAACTAACTGAAAACTGAGATTTAGTTTGAGATTGAAACAAAAAAGCTCATTGTGTCTTCTGAGTGAACGATCAAATACGTCACATTTGTTTTTCTCTCTTTCTCTAGGTTACTCCTCGGAAGAAATTCAAGTGCCCGGAGTGCACAGCGATTGACGGGTTGTCGCTGGACCAGACACACATGGTGGAAAGGTACAGTATAAACAGGGATTCCCTTTAGATGGGCAGAGGGGGCTCTGGCAGCATTCTTGGCATCTGAAACACATTTTGGGTTTAACCAACAATTGGCTCATTGTAGCACAGTACAGGAGATACGTTCCTGTGCTTTCAGATCAAAACATTCAAATTCACTGGACCTTACGAAAAACGTTCCTTCTCAAAGAACTGTGACTTTCCTCTCTGTCAGAGGTTCACCACAAATCATTGATTCATTCTGTGTTTCAATTCAAGTATGAACCAGCGAAGCATGCATCAGAAAGGCTTGAATTGATTTTCCTTGAAAATCACAACCGTTTCCTCATCCGCTGAAGCATAATCAGTCTTGATGATTGGTTTCATACTTCCAAGCTGTGTTTGAGGAATTAAAGCAGTCGAAGCAGCCTGCGAGAGAGTGTTTGACCTTGAAGTGAATACGGAGTGGTAGCAGCCAATCAGGGACTCCGTTGACTGCTGAACCCTTCCAGGGGTCACACTTGTTTAGATTGATGAAGGGGTTTCTGCCTCTGGTTATGCTTCTCTCTCGATACATTTCCTGTCATAAGTGTGGGGTCCTGGGAATGCCAGGCATTTTGAAAACGTCCGATCCCTGTTTAACGTTGTGCATGTACCTCATGATTCAGATGACTCTACAAAACACTGGTTAGTTTCTACCATGAATGTTTTTTTTTTCCTCAACATCCATTTCTGGAAGACAGATTTTCCAGCATTGGTATCAGTATTATCCATGTTTCCCTTTTTCCTCCACTCTTTTAGCCTCTTTCTTTTTCCTTTCCAGATCTGAGTGCATAAACAAGTTCGCCTCTGTGTTTGGCACCATGCCTCTGAAGGTTGTCGAGCACCGTGCCGATCCTGTACTCTATAAAGACGACTTCCCAGAGAAACTTAAAAGTTTCCCCAACATTGGTAGTCTGTGACACGACTACAACTCTTTCCCACCACTTTTATCTCTCAGACAGTCTATGGGCACTCCAGGATTTCTCTTTCCCATTCTGTATCTGACCTAATGACTTTTGAGGAGTGCCATTCCATTAGTTTTTTAATGGGAAATGATGCACTGTATAACTTATCATGTTTTCACTCTTGAGGACGGTTGCTGAAACAGGACGACACATCGAGTCAGTTGGTGATTTCTGTGAGGACAGGTCAGAGTTTGGCTCAGTCTTAAACCTTCCTTGTGGCTGACACTATATCTGTGTGAGGAAAGTGAACACATAGAGATGATTCACAGCCCACTGGTAAACAGTGGAGGATATATATATATATATACAGTGGGTACGGAAAGTATTCAGACCCCCTTAAATTTTTCACTCTTTGTTATATTGAAAAACACAGAATCGTTGACATTTTTGCAGATTTATTAAAAAATCACGCTGAACGAATTGTAGCATAACTTGAACTGACTATCTCAGATGTTGGGTTGGGGCCATTAGTTTGTACATGAGATATTGTTTTACACAGTCACTGTTAGTGATTTTAATATTACAGTTTGAGTTATATCAGTTTGACATTTCATTTTATCTTCAGTTGCTGACTTTTTGAATGTTGCTGGAAAAAAAGTGTTTTATATAAATGTTCCCCGTTTAGTTCAGCTCTTATGTCTGTCTAATTAAAGTGTATTTTGGGTATTACTAGATATTAAAAGACAATATTTGAAGGGTTATATACTGTACAGCTGATTACAATATGGTTATATGCCATGAAATTGCAAAGAACTCATTCATACTCATAATGTATTCTAGTCACATTTCTTTTTGATGTCTCTATTTCTTTTAATTGTTTTGTTGTTTGTTTGTTTTTGACATTAAGATGTATTATATGTAATAAACAGAGTGTGGAAAGAAATGCTTCATTTAGAGATGTGCATTTTGGTCATTTTGACTGTTAAAGTACTTTCTTTTCTTTCTTTTTTTTTTTAATGGAGGCTTCTGTATACATGCATTTTTGACTTGCATAATTGCATCTTGCTGTTTTTATAGCATTTCACAATGCGAGCATGTCATTTTTAAGACCGTGTTGTCAAGTCAAAATAGTAACATTTTAAAAACTGTTATAAGATCTTTCATTTGGTTTCAACAAGTTGCGCTCCACTTTGCTGACACAAGTTGTCATCCTTTTGTGACCTTAAACAAATCACGGAATTAATGAGGCCCAATTTTGGAACAATTTTGCATAGTTGCTGGAATTTGATTGGTATGAAATATTCTGAAGTTTAATGTTCGTTATTGTTTTTTCATTTCTATCGCTTCCGAGTATTCAGGTTCCCATGCTCATCCCTAATTTGATGGTATGTTGACTTGGTGTAGATTTTGAATGAATTGTTGTCTTTTTTCCCCAACTGCCTCTGTTGTCTGGGCCCAGAAGCAGATGTCTGAGCGCTTTGAGTGATTTCGATTCAGAAGCCTGCACGTCTTGAGATAAATTCATTTCATCTCCATGGGGAGTGAACTTGTGAAGAGAAATCTATTCCTGTTCTGACTCTTCCTGCATGAAGAAAGTGAAAATCTGGTAAGGAAATTTCAGCAACATGTTTGTATTGGAAATGTCACTGAATTACCAATTACACACAGAGAGCTAGATTGTCTGCAGCTTGTGAAGTGTTTTATGCAAAATTTGTCTACTTTAGAAAAATGTGTATGAGAGGAAGCATTTATCTCTGAGCTAATCATCAAAGTCAAGCATTCAGGCCTATCTGAGCTATCCTTTTCTGCATTATGAAGGCATTTGTCACCTGTTATTAACATGCATTTCATAATCAACTCTGTACAATATCAGCAGTTAAAGTTTTTTTTTTTTCCCCACTTTATTTCGTGCTGCTTTTCTGTATTTATTAATCAAAAGCTGCATTCATGGACTGCAATTTATGAATACAATTACTAATATATTGCACAGGGATATTTAGTTTGATTAGTTCTTTTTTTAAGTTTTTATTCATCTGGATTTAGAGAAACAAACAAAAATGAGCACACAGAAAATGTCAAATTAAATTAAACATCCATAGTAGAATACCCAGCACCTGTAATGGATAACTTTAAAAATGTATGCTTTTTTTAACCCATTAAAGGAAAGCCTCGTTAAAAGCACAGTCTCTAGCCAACAGGATCTTCATGTCTCAGTATGTCTTTAATGGCTGTTACATCCGGCTCTGAGAACAGTATGTCAAATGTCCCGGAAAATGTCTTGCTAAAAAACATTTTTAAGGAGGTTTTGATCCAAGTTTAAACAAAATGTACAACTTGTTTTAGCTTGTTTTTCAGATTTGAAACAATACGGACAATAAACGGTTTACCAGCCCTCTGTACTTTACCATTATGTTCTCAAAGAACTTGATAGTTGATTGAGTACACATTTTATAGTGCTATTCCACTCGAATCAGATGTTCTCAAAGCAATTCAAACAATTAAAAAAAATGTAAGTGCAATAACTTACGGTTGTAAATCACACAATATATATAGAACATGAACAAGCTTGAAAGTAAATAATTATTAAAAGTGATTCAAAAGCCATACATTTAGCTTTAAGCCATCACAACTATTTTAAGTTCATTTACATACCAAAAACCCAAATGTATCGCATTTTATCCCCTGACCCACAATACAACAAAAGCAAGAACCCTCAGTCACACATAAAATAATATATTTCTAATTAGGATATTTTTTACAAAAGAAAGGCTCCAAGGGTATTTTATGCAAGAAAGGAATCCAAAGAAAAACGTACATGCGGCCACACACAAAACAAAGCATTATATTATTCTAGTACTTGGATATGCCTACTTCAGTAGTATAAGTTTTGAGAGACTTAAGAATCTCTGTAACTCCTAGGCATCTGCAAGGTACCGTCTGGCAATTAACATTTCCTTTGGGTATTGTACAATCTGAACCGTCTTGATGACCGTTTTACATGTTTAGTTATGCTGATTTACCTTTGAATGAAATACAAGAGTATCAAAAGCAAATGTGATGAGCTGTGTTCTGTTATGTGCAGATTAGCTCATTTAATGTTATGGAAGTGTATATATGTGCTGATACTACACAAACTAATGATAGTGTTGACCTGAGCTTCATCGACGCCCCTCCCGGTTCCAGATAGGCTAACACGGAGCCCATGCTGCTCTGTTCTGTCACAGAATCCCTCTCTGCAGATGTCTCGGTGTTAATTAAAAAGATTGCCTGAGAGCACGGGTGTGCATTGACTCAGAGTCGCTGAGGGCTAATGCTTTGGCTGGGGTAGTGGGCCGGACCCTGTTCAGCATGGGGCTTTGAAAGAAGAGCCATGACAGCTGAAGGGGAAGCATGTGCGAGGCATGTTTGTTTTGCATTTACTCCGCACACAGCTGTGTGGATTGTCCTTTCCCAGAAACACTGGAACACTATAGTCACTTCACCCTCTCAGCAACCTCTAAAAGGCCAAAGTGAGAGTGTCAGGACTTAAAATTCTGCACTGGCAGAACTCCTTATGGCTCTCAATGAGGATTGGTGGTTGAACTGCTGCTCTGGTGGATGGATTCAGTGCTGGTTTTAGTCATAATACATTATCACTAACTTGGTAGGTAAAGTGATGAGATGCAGTGAAGCATGACTCAAACTTAAGAATGCCTCTACACTTTACATATCATATCTAGGCCATGAGTCACGAGACTGAGCAGCAGTTAGCAGGTGATCTCTAATTAACTTTTGACAATGGGGTTCTTTAACCAGATGATTATAACATGATATTGAATCCAATGCATAGTATATTTGAGTTTTTGTTTAAAAACCTTAAGTAATGGAAGCCTAGTTTTCTGTCATTCTAAAACAGAACTCAATACACAACTCTATTCCATGTTGTGACCCCGCACCCTCCCCCCCCCACCCCCCCAAACCAGGTAAGTCACTGCTCTGGTATGATAATAAAAAAGTTGTGTGTGTGTATATATAAGTATCTCCAGGGATCTAGATAAGCTGCACAGTAGAATGAAGGAAAGGAAATGTGGTTCTCATT